ATGCAGAAAAGGTGTTTGAAAAAATTCAGCACTCTCTCATGATTAAAAAAACTCTCAACAGATTAGATATTTGGGGAATGTACCTCAATACAATAAAGATCATATGTGACAAGCTCACAGCTAACATTATACTCAGTGGTGAAAAGTTGAAAGTTTTCCTCAGATCAGGGACACATGTGCCCACTTTGGCATATCTCTTTAGCATAACACTGGATGATCTAGACAGAGCAATTAGGCAAGAGAAGAAATAAAAAGTCATCCTTAGAGGAAAGGAAGAACTGAAATTGTCTGTTTCCTAATGACATGATCTTATATTAGGAAATTCTAAAGACTCTAAAATTGTTGGAGAACAGAAAATCAACATATTCAGATGGGTAGCATTTTTTATACACTGATACAAACTATCTGATAAGGAAATTTTTTAAATCCCATATACAATAGCAATAAAAATATTAAACACTTATGCATACATCTAACCAAAGAGGTGATCAATTTGCATATAGACATAATTATTATCTTTCTCTTTATTGAACTTCACAGATATGTGTCTTTTATAGATTGAAGGTTTGTGGCATCTCTGTGTTGAACAAGTCTATAATCACCATTTTTTCAACAGGATGTGCTCACTTTGTGTCTCTGTGTCACATTTTGGTAATTTTCACAATATTTCAAATTTTTCATTATTATATCTCTTATGGTAATCCGTGATCAATGATTTTGATATTACCATTGTAGTGGTTTTGGAGTGCCACAAATAATGTCCATATAAGATGGAAAACTAAACAGATAAATTTTGTGTGTTCTGACTACTCCATTGACCAACTGTTTTTCTCTTTGTCTTCCTCTCTTTGAGCCTCCCTCTTCTATAAGACACAATATTAAAACTAGGCTAAGTAATAACCCTACACTGGCCTCTAAGTGTTCAAGTGAAAAGAAGACTCACATGTCTCTCACTGTAGATCAAAAACTAGAAATGATTAAGCTTAGTGAGGAAGTCATGTCAAAAACTGAGATAGGCTGAAAGCTAAGCCTCTTGCACCAAACTCTTAGCCACGTTGTGAGTGAAAAAAAAAGTTCTTGAAGGAAATTAAAAGTACTACTCCAGGGAACACATAAATGATAAGAGCTCAAAACAGTCTTATTGCTGATATGGAGAACGTTTTGGTGGTTTGGATACAAGACCAAACCACCCACAACATTCCCTTTGGCTAAAACATGATCCAGGTCAAGGTTCTAACTTTTTTCAATTCTATGGAGGATGAGAGAGGTGACGAAACCACAGAAGAAAAGTTTGGAGCTGGAAGAGGCTGGTTCATGATATACAGAAAAATAAGTCATCTCCATAACAGAAAAGTGCAAGGAAGCAACAAGTGCTGATGCAGTAGCTGCTGCAAGTTATTTTTTAAAATCTAGCCAAGGTAATTGATGAAAGCAGCTACACTACACAGCAGATTTTAAATGTTAATGCAACACCCTTGTTTTGGAATAAGATGCTACCTAAGACTTTTTATAGATGGAGAGTAGAAGTCAATGCCTGGCTTCAAAACTTAAAAGGACAAGGTGACTCTTGTTAGACGATAATGGAGTTGGTGGTTTTAAGTTGAAGCCAATGCTCATTTACCATTATAAAACTCCTTGGTGTTTTTCTAATGATGCTACATCTACTCTGTTTGTGCTCTATAAATGGAAAAATACAGCCTGGGTGACAGCATATGTGTTTATAGCATGGCTAACTGAATATTTCAAGCCCATCATTAAGACCTACTTCTCATACAAAGAGATTCCTTTCAAAGTATTACTGCTCATTGCCAATGTACCTAGTTATGCAAGCGCTCAGATGGAGATAGTAATGTACAATAATTTTTTTTTTTTTTTTGAGTCAGAGCCTCACTCTGTTATCCAGGTTGGAATACTGTGGAATGATCACAGCTCACTGCAGCCTTGACCTTCCAGGCTCAGTTGATCTTTCTGCCTCAACCTCCCAAATAACTGGGAATACAAGCACATGCCACCATATCTGGCTACTTTTTTTTTCTTTTCTTTTCTTTTTTTCATATAGATGAGGTCTTGCTATGTTGCCTAGACTAGTTGTGAATTCCTGAGCTCAAGCAATACTCTCACTTCAGGTTGGGCATGTGCCGCCTAGATTAATGTTTTCATGCCTTTTAATACAACATTCATTCTACAGCCCACACGTCAAGGACTCATTTTTCATTTCAAGTATTATTATTTAAGAAATACATTTCATAAGGCTACAGTAATAACTTTGATGGATCTGGGCAAAATAAATTGAAAACCTCAAAATGATTCCCCATAAGAACACTTGTGATTCATACAAGAAAGTCAAAATATCATCAACAGGTGTTTGGAAAAAGTCGATTCCAACCTTCATGATTGACTTAAGAGATTCAATCCTTCAGAGAAGGAAGTAACTGCAGATGTTGTAGAATTCACAAGGGAACTGCACTTAGAAAGCCTGAAAATGAGACTAAATTACTGCAAATTCATATTAAACTTTAATTAATGAAGAGCTACCTCTTATGAATGAGCAAAGAAAGTGATTTCTTGAACTGGAATTTACTTCTGGTGAAGATACTGTGAACATTGTTGAAATGACAGCAAAGGAATTAAGTTTTCAAAACTGGTCTAGATTTTTTTCTTAATTAGATTCTTAACATTTTCCTACCAGTCTCTTTTAAATTATTCTAATGCTTTAACCTGTCTCTGGAGGCCCTGTCCCCACTGTTAATATGTTAAGTTTGACTTTTTTCTCCCCTTCAAGTTCATTACACAGATGATTCATTAGTGGTTTTTTTTAACCTGGGTCACCAAGGACCCTTTTGTTTATTAACTTGTGCAGATTTGACAATGATTTAAATTTTTAAAAAACTGTTTCCTAAGCTTATTATAGTACTATATCTATTGTGAGAAATTTGATGCAATTGATAAAAGAAATGTCAAGGAAATTATGCATTCCTGACTGTTGCTGTGAGAGTGACCACATTTAATCAGTAGTGAGCAGAAATTTTCATGCAAGTTTTCAACATTAGATTCATTTTTATCTTATAGCTATGAGAATAGTTTTAGTTAAGCAATTAACAGAAAGAGGTTATTTTAAAAGCGTAAGTATGATAAATTCTGTCATTTCAGTTGCATTTTATTTTTAGAAAGTTGGGTTATATATGCTGTTAAAAAAATCTTTCCTGAATGTATAAAACTTAGAAATAGAAGTTATAATATGGGTGTCTACTAAGCATCATTTTTAGAGTGCTTTCATCTTGGATAATGTAGAGCCATTGGTAAGATTATTTTAAGCAACAGTAAACAAGAGGTGATCTAAAAGTAGCATAATTTTGAGTTATATGAAAAATAATAACATCTCTCATTCACTAATTTCTGAAAACTAAAAATTAATGTCAGAGTAAAAGTATTTTCATGAAATCAGAGACCAGGGGACAGGAATGGAACTGGGAAACAAGGAGATTGGAGGGAAGATTACTCTGCACAGATAACCCATGTAAAATGTTTATTTCAATCTCTATCATATAGTAAAGGTCCAATAACCATAGTATACTAGTTTGATATAAAAACAAATACAAGGGAAGAAATAGGAAGAGGTGTGGAAAATCAAGAGTTTCTTTTTGGACTTACATTTGGAATATATTTGGTTATATGACTGGAATTTTGAAGAGCAATTTTTTTCTTTTTTGGAAATTAGGTGTCTAAGAAAATACCCAAAGAGAGTGTATATGTTAAGAAGTAAAGAATCACAAATAACTATCAACATAAGCTCAGCCAGCAAGAAATGTCTAGAAACTGCATAATGAAAAGCTGACATGTAAAACACATACATGGCAATAAGGCAAATTATAAGAGAATTCCATAATATTGTATGGTTAAAAGTACACATCACATTCTACTGAGAGATTTCCTAGACTTTAACAGAAATAGAGAAGCGCTTGATAAACTTTGGTATAAATTGCTTTATTAGAATCAAAACATGATTATAGTCTATTGATTATTGAATGTACTGTGATTTACCAAGGGAAAATCATTGTGAACCAGAACATTAAAATAGCTTAAATATATTTATTAGTCATTATCAGCCAGGTAATTTTATAATTACTTTATATGTCAACTTATGTAATTTTTCAACACAGTAAATGCATGAAGGATAATATTTTTATTTCCATTTTAAGAAATAAAACTAAGTCCCAGTAAAATTAAGCCATACTTGAAGAAATGAATAGTTTAAATCTGATATTTTTGTACTTATTAATAACAGTATTTTGAAGTGTGTTCTAACCTTAACTAAATAGATTGGAAACTAAAAGTTGTGATGATTTATAAATCTCTATTTATTTACACCTAACATATAGTTTCATTCTATGAAACAAATGTGCCATTAAATTTTTCTTTTTCTTCTGCACCCCAGTAGAAAAATAGTATAATTTTAAACAGAAAATTATGAGGGAGAAACAGAGGAATGGGTGAGTAACAAAGAAGTTGTTTAAAGAAAAGATAAATTTTAATAATTATAATACTAGTGTTCAAAATTTTAAGCACTGGATGCAATAAGCCTATATAGCAAACCCAAACTGTTTTTGGGTTTGCTATATAGGCTTAATACACTGTGATGTATTTGTGCTTTATTAATAACAAATCTTCAAGGAAACAAATAGAAATGATAGGGAAAGTTTAAGATTCAACTTTAAGATTCAGCCTAAAGTGAATAGGGAAGAACTCTTGATCTCACAAACTATGAAATTGAAAATAAATGTTAGTACAGATAAAGAAATCTGATTTTTTTAAAACCTCCCCTGAAATAACACACACACAAAATACACAATTATAAAACTTAAGCTGCCTGTGCATTGATACTTTTAAACAAATTTTTATGCATGTGAATTTCTTTGCTAGTTTTTCCTCTATTAATTTCCACCTTATGCAAATATATCTGAATTTTTAAATGCAGAGTGAGCAGAAGTAAGAAATCAATTATGAGAAACCACACAACAACCACATTCATCCTGCTGGGACTGACTGATAACCCACAACTAAAGATGGTGATTTTCATCTTTCTGTTTCTCACCTACATGTTGAGTATAACTGGGAACCTGACAATCATCTCCCTCACCTTCGTGGATTCACACCTTAAAACTGCCATGTACTTTTTCCTACAAAATTTCTCCTTCTTAGAAATCTCATTTACATCTGCTTGTATTCCCAGATACTTACACAGCATATCAACAGGTGATAAGACAATTACATATAACAGCTGTGCCACGCAAGTTTTTTTTACTGACCTCTTTGGTGTAACAGAATTTTTTCTTCTGGCCACCATGTCCTATGACCGATACGTAGCCATCTGCAGACCCCTGCATTACGTAACCATCATGAACAACAGGGTCTGTGGAAGATTCGTGCTTTGCTGCTGGACAGTAGGCTTGCTCATCATACTCCCACCACTCAGCCTAGGCCTAAATCTGGAATTCTGTGACTCTAACATTATTGACCATTTTTTCTGTGATGCATCTCCCCTCCTAAAGATCACATGTTCAGAAACATGGCTCATGGAGCAGATGGTCATCGTCTGTGCTGTGTTGACCTTTATCATAACCCTTGTATGTGTAGTTTTATCCTACACATACATCATTAAGACAATTCTACGATTCCCTTCTGCTCAGCAAAGAAAAAAGGCATTTTCTACCTGCTCTTCCCACATGATTGTGGTCTCCATCACCTATGGAAGCTGTATCTTCATCTATGTTAAACCTTCAGCAAAGGAATCAGTGGCTGTTAACAAGAGTGTGACAGTCCTCACTACTTCCGTCGCACCGATGCTGAACCCCTTCATTTACACCTTGAGGAACAAGCAAGTAAAACAAGCCTTCAGCAACTCAATAAAAAGAATTTCATTGTTCTTAAAAAAGTAAGAGAATTTGCTAATGTAGATAAATTTTTGTTTTCATAGAAAGATTATTGGTTCCTAAGTAGGTATCTCTAAGTTTTTGCATCATTCCTTTTCTTATCAACAAAGCAGTTTCAGGATAAAAGTTCCCAAAAAGAAAACATAATACATTTCTAGGAAACAAAAGAACGATGCCACATATTAACACACCTTAACAAAATTGCAAACAAAAGGAAATAAAACAAGCAGAATCAATGGGTTCATCATATAGTTTAGATTGAGTAACAGTATTTATTACCTTGTCCAATTCCAGCTTCTGAAGATCTTTTTAATGCCAGGCACCATTTCAGACACTGAGGATAGATTAGAAAACCCGCAAATGTATTGTCCTTTCATGCCTTATATTTTAGTGGATATATGTGACCATTACATTAAACAAAATATAAACATCACAAACAACAACCAAAAAAACCAGACAATATTTTAAAGTGAGTAAATAAAACATACTGTTACAAACATTTATATCTTAATGTAGAAATGGAATTATAAAATATAAGATCCTACAAGTTTTAATACTCTAAAAGTCACAGAAGTAATGAATCACTTTGAATGGAAAATATGTGAAATAACCTGCTAAAAGTTCTTCTTTAAAGGACTAGTAAATCCGTGAGGAAAATGGTCATATGTCTACATCTGCATTTGTTTCTATACTTTTGTCTATAACTACAGCCATTGACTTTTGAAAAATTAAGATTATTAGGAGATAGTAAAAAACATGTACAAAGTTTTAAAAAGTATTTATATAAATGATAACAACTCAAAGTAAACCTATGGCAGCTGTATCTTCATCTATGTCAAACCTTTAACAAAGAATTCAGTGCCCATAAATACAGATGTAAAAATGCTTCCTACTTCCGTTGCTTCTATGATGAATCCACTCCTTAAAACCTTCAGAAACAGACAAATAAAACAAGTCTTTCATGACATTTCAAGGAACTTAAGCATAGCTATCTTATTAATAATTTTATATTGACTACAGGTTGAAATGATATTTTGATATAGTCAGTTAAAAAATATATACTATAAAGTTATTTATTTTATAATATGGCTACTAAAAAGTTTTGAGTTATATTATGTGGTTCATGTTATGTTTCTTTTTCTAATTTTTTTTAATATTTTAAAGATGTGGGGTACAATTCAGGATTAGGTATGTAAGTGGTCATCGTACGGGTAAACTTGGGGCCTCCCATTGGTCCTCACTTCGCCTAGTTTGGGATCAGGTACCCTTATTGATGTTATGTGTCCCTCTCTTCCCTCCCCTGTCAGTGTCCCTCTACTGCCAATCCCTTTCATGTAGTATTATGCAAGATGTTCAGGGTCCACTTATGAATGAGAATATGTGATACTCAATTCTTTGTTTCTGTGATAGATCACTGAGTATGATCATCTAAATCCATTCGGGTTGCTGTTAAGTCCTTAATTTTGTTTTTCTTTATGACTGCATAATAAACCATCGTGTATATGTACCACATTTTTTCATCCAGTCCACTTTCAACAGGCAGCATGATTGGTTCCATGTTTTTGCTATTGTGAATACTACTGCAATAGACATGTGTGTGCAGGCATCTTTTTTGCAGAATGATTTCAGTTCCTCCAGGTATATTTCCAGAAGGGGGATTGCTGGGTTGTATGGAAGGTCAATTTTTAGATCTTTTAGAAATGGCCTGTTTTCCACAGAAGTTCTACAAATTTACAGTCACGTGTTATGTTACTATTGGCATGTTTTAGATATTTATGGAGTGCTGATTAACAGTGGACTCAGAATTCAAATTCTGTTTCTTAGACCAAATATTCAGTATTTGATTTAAGAAAGCTTCTCTAGAGAAACACTTTTCAGTAGCAAGATATTTTTAAGAAATTCCTCAAGCAGACTCTACATGTATTGAAATTACCAGATATTTAAATAATGAAAAATGCTCATGGCAGGTTTAAAGTTAATCAACTACTGAATGAAATATATCTTCAATATGAGATTAATAATTTACAAATAAAATTAATCTGCGTGGGAAAAACTAAAAACTATTGAATGAAAATATAAATGCTGTGACCACTACCAATTCTAATTTATCTGAAAAAGAGTTGAACTTTTAACTATATATAAGTTAATATAAATAATGTGAATATGAATATTTGAACCATGTTGCTTCTTAGAGCAATGCCCACTAATACTGAGTAAGCAGGAAGGGTAGCTAAGTGAAATGAGTGAAATCTTCTGAGAAACTTTCTAATGCAGACAGAAATATTTAGAAACTCCTAATATAAATTTCTCTACAGCATTAACTCTAGTTTGTTGTGATACAAAAGCTCTGACTCTTTGGTGACTCACTTTTTTTTATCACTCTTGCACTTTTGCCCAACCTTCCCACATTTCCTCAATTGGCCAGTCCACGCCCTAATTCCCAGATTGACAATACTATAAATAATATTCATGTTCTGAATCCATGGTATGACAAGCATTGGGTGTTTCCAAAAGGAAGTCAGTGGACTCATTTATTAGAAACTGTTGGTTTTTAGAAGTTTAGACTAATAATGCTCCCCACCTGCCTTAAGATCAAGGTGATGGAGAAGGCCTGTATTGTAGAAATGAAAGTCATCTGCTGCTTAAGGAAATTAAAAGCTGACCTGAGCACCCAGACTATGAAGTTTCTGCAAGGCTTGTTCAAGATGCTTTTTTAGCCCCAAGGTAATGGCAACTAGTCTCCTAAATTCCTTGAAATATCCAAAAATGTTTATTAAAAATCCTATTAACAATAAATATTTCTGAATGCTTGCTCTATGGAAGGTCATGATTAAGAACTTCATTTTTATTAACTTTAAACTCATAGAAACAGAAAATTTCACAGTACACACATCTGTATGCATCACAGTGTCAACAAGTAACATTTATGGCCAATCTTGTCTCATCTACAAATTAGTCCATTACTCCCAAGCCCTACTTGATTATTTTAAACAGAAACATATATCATTTCATCTATAATATTTTAGCAAGTATCTCTAAAAATATATTTTTTAAACATTAAAATTTAACATAAAACCAATCCTTAGCAAAAAAAAAAAAAAAAGCAGAAGGTATCACACTCCCAGACTTTAAACTTTATTATAAAGCTACAATAATCAAAAGAGCCTGGAACAAAAACAGGAATATACACCAGTGGGACAGGACAGAGATTCCAAAAGCAAAACCTCAATTTCTTGACCAACTTATCTTTGACAAAGCCTCCACAACCAACCACTGGGAAGAGGAGAACCTATTCAGTAAATGGTGCTGGGAAAACTGGCTGACCACATGCAGAAGATTAAAGCAAGATCCCTACTTATCACCATGCCCAAAAATCAACTCTACATGGAACAAAGACCTAAACGTAAAACCTCAAACTATAAGAACCTTAGAAAATGCAGGAGACACCCTTATGGAAATTGGAACTAACAACCAATTCCTGATCAAAACTCCAAGTGCCCATGCCATAAGAGAAAAGATAGACAAGTGGGAAAAACTTCTGCAAAGTCAAAATAATCATCAACAGCCCACAGACTGGGGGAAAATATTTGTCAACTGCATATCTGACAAAGGTCCAATATCTAGCTCTACAAAGAACTCAAATGTGCCAAAAAGGAGAAAACAAATAGCCCCATTACAAAGTGGGCAAAAGATATGAATAGGCATCTCAAAAGAAGACATATGAGCAGCCAACAGACACATGAAAAAATGTTCAGCCTCACTAGTCATCAAAGAAATGAAACTTAAAACCACACTGAGATACCACCTAACTCCACTCAGGATGGCCATCATCAATAACTCAAAAAACAATATATGCTGGAGAGGATGAGGGGAAAAGGGAACATTTCTACACTGTTAGTAGGGGGGGAAATGTTGGTTTTTTGAAAGGACAAACAAGATAGATGGTCCCCTAGCTAGACTGAAGAAGAAAAAAAGAGAAAAAGCCCAAATAAACACAATCAGAAACACAAAAGATTAAGTCACATCTGACCACAAAGAAATACAAAAGATCATTAGAGACTATTATGTACACTTGTATGGAAACAAACTTGAAAACCTTGAGCAAATGGAGGACTTTCTGACATCACACAATCTGCCTAGGTTGAAACAAGAAAAAATTGAGACCCTAAATAGACCAATAGCAATCAAGGAAATTGACTATGTAATATGAAAACTACATACCAAAAAAAAGCCCTGGACCAGATGGCTTTCCAACAGAATTCTATAAGACATTTAAAGAAGAATTGATACCAATCCTACTGAAAGTATTCCAGGTGATTGAGAAAGATGGAACTCTCCTCAAATCATTTTATGAAGCCAACATCACATTGATACCCAAGCCAGGTAAAGACCCAACAAAGAAAGAAAACTACAGGCCAATATCTTTGATGAATATAGATGCTAAAATTCTCAACAAAATCCTTGGATTCAACAATACATCTCAAAAATCATCCATCATGAATAGGCTTCATCCCTGGGACGCAAAGCTGGTTCAACATTTGCAAGACCATAAATGTAATCAAATACATCAACAAGTATCAAAGCAAAAACCACATGATTATATCATTAGATGCAGAAAAAGCTTGTGATAAAATCCAGCACCTCTTCTTGATAAAAACCCTCAAACATCTAGGCATACATGGAACATACCTCAAAATAGTAAAAGCCATCTACGAGAAACCCACAGCCAGCATACTCGAAAATAGACAAAAATTGGAACCATTTCCCCTGAAAATGAGAACAAAACAAGGATGCCCACTCTCACCCCTCCTATTCAATATAGTATTCGAAGTCCTAACTAGAGCAATTAGAAGAAAGAAGGCGATCAGGGGTATCCAAATTGGAAAAGAGGAAGTCAAGTTATCTCTCTTTGCAGATGACAAGATTGTGTACCTTGAAAACCCAAGAGAATCTGTCAAAAGCCTCCTTACACTGATAAAGGACTTTGGCAAAGTCTCAGGGTATAA